TATCGATCCGAGCGGGAAACCCTCAGATCCTGCCTTCTATGCCTGCTGTCAACTTCTCCTAATAAAAGTTCCTTTTGGAAGAAACGGCTTCCAACGAGTTCTGCTTCCTTAGGATGAGGTTTTGAAGTGGGCCTGACATTAGACAGGATCTGTAGAAACAGCCCGGAAGGAAGACCCTTAACTGGGGGACTTGGCAAATCATGTCAGACAATGGAATAGAGAGAGAGGAGCCTGCAATGGGGGGGGGGAAACCTCCCGCCGGGCAGACCCCTGCAATTACTCAAGCTCTGGATCCCCGAGCTCCTCGGAGGAGGAAGTGGTCACAGAACGCCGCCACAAGCCCAAGTGGCCGATGGGCGTCGGAAAGAAGGAGGACTGGGAGAAGAAGGCCAGGAAAGTGACACTCAGACGGGGCAGTCATCAGCCAGGCTGGAAGGTGGAGATGGAGAGGTCCCTCCATTTTAGCAAAGACGAGGAGGACCGCCTGATGTACTCCAGCCGATTGTTGGAGCAGGCAATCGGCATGATGAAGTTAACACTCGACTCCATGAAGGAGGAGAAAGCTGAACCACACAGGGGCACCATTCACCTGGGCTCCACCGAGAAGACCGACGAAGGGGAAGCTGAGCCAGGGGTCCCGAACCCTTCCAAAGGCAACACCAAAACCACAGCTGCCGCGGCTGCCACAACTGCCTCTCACCAAGCAGCCACTGCAGACAGAGGGGAGACGACACAAGTGGAAGAAGAGGCACTGACCCATCCAGAAGCTCCCACTGCTGGATGTAAAGTACCGTGGAGAGCCACGGCCCCTGGGATTCTTCCTGACCCTGGTGCTAAATTACATGGAGGAATACAGCCGTGACATCCCAAGTGACCGAGCCAGGGTCTGCATCCTACAAGCCGCCCTGGATGGCATTGTGGTGGATTGGGTCGTAGACCTCCATGATGCAGATGCACCGGAGCTACTCCAATCAATTCATGGCTGTTCTCAGGCATCGCTTTGGGGACCCCTTGGCTGACCGGAAAGCCCGGGAGCGGATAAAGACAGTGAAACAAGGCAGACGACCGGTGGCAGAACACGCCCAGGAGTTCCAAGCCCTGGCCAGCAAGCTGAATTAGCCGGAGGACATCCTGCTCAGCCACTTCAAGGATGGGTTAAACTACAACCTCTACGACCTCGAGGAGACCCCCACCAGTTGCAAGACTGGTACGTCCTGGCTGAAGAAGCGGAGATCGACCTGGCCAAGAGACAACGCCGAGGGGGGAGATTGTGGGGGAGGTCACCATCGGAGCCGACCTGCGGATCAGCAAAGCAATCATCAGCAACCAAGAGAAACTCAGTATGTTTCAAATGCAGGAAAGAGGGACACCGCGCTGCCGAATGCCGCTCGCTCACCCCTACCCGAAAGCCTGACACAGCTCCAGCCGGAAGACCCAGGAAGACCCCAGCAAAGCCGAAAGAGACGGCCATGAAGGGCACGGAAGCCGTTGAGTTCCCTGCCTCAACCCAGCGAGAAAAGGAAACTTTGGCCAACCCAGGTGGAACATCCAACTCGTCAGACGACAACTCGGAGGTAAGTGGGCCCATTGCGCCCCTGGTAAGTGGGCCCATTGCGCCCCTCATCCGGACAGTAGGACTGTTGGCCCCTGGCATGCCCGGGGGAATAGAAGCCAGGACGCCAATTGACTTGTTGCACCCGCTGCCTCATAAGCCCGACGTTAATGGGGAACTTAGGAATTCCGGTGAGGAGGCTGAAGAAACTGATCTCCTTCGATCAATGAGATGGGTCCAGAGCAGGGGGGATGCCTGCCACGCTAGCCACACTGCAGGTTCAACTCACCCTAGGGCAAGGGTAGGCAACCTCGGCTCTTTCATGACTCATGGACTTCAACTCCCAGAATTCCTGAGTCAGCTATGCTGACTCAGGAATTCTGGGAGTTGAAGTCCTTGAGTCATGGAAGAGCCGAGGTTGCCTACCTCTGCGCTAGGGGACCACATAGAGACTATAACGTTTGTGGTGACCCCTGGCACGGAATGCCCCCAATTCTGGGCATGGCGTGGCTGACCAAGTGGAACCCGCCGGTGGACTGGAGAATGGTGGAACTCAGATTCCCAAAAGGGGAAACCGGCTGAAGCACCAGCCAAGCCCTGAAACGGTGCAGCCGCGCCGAGAAAGCTACAGTGTGTGTGTGTGTGTGGGGAGGGGGAAGGAACTACCAGGAGTACAGAGACCTGGCTGAAGTGCTCAGCGAGGAAAGGTCCGATGAACTGCCCCTCACCGGCCCACGGGCTGTGCGATAGAGATCCGACCGGGTGCGAAACACCCCAAGCTGGCTGAGGAATTCTGGGAGTTGAAGTCCACAAGTCTTAAAAGTTGCCAAGTTTGAAGACCCCTGAGCTAAGGGCAACAAAAGTTTGCTACCCAAATGGTTCAGAATTCTTATTTTGGCCTCACTTTCCTCAACCGACCAAGTAACTTCTCAAGAAGCATAATTCAAGGGAATTGTATGGATGGCGCGCGCGCGCGCACACACACACACCCTACACGTGTGTGCATGCGAACACAGCAAGAAACTTTGGCTGGGTCCAGCTTGGTGGACTCAACCTAGTGGTTCCATCCAGGAGTCCCCAATTTCCCCGAAGGAGTCTGCCCTCTTTAACTGGGGAAGGGGCTAAGACTTTGGAGAGGAAAAATGTATTTTACCATATTCCTGCACAGAGCCCAGGAATTGAAGGACACATACTGCATCCAGTTTTGGTCACCACGATGTAAAAAAGATGCAGAAACTCTAGAAAAAGTGCAGAGAAGACCAACAAAGATGATCAGGGGACTGGAGGCTAAAACATATAAGGAACGGCTGCTGGAATTGGGTCTGTCTAGTTTAACGAAGAGAAGGATGAGGGGGGACATGATAGCAGTCTTCCAGTATCTCAGGGGCTGCCCCAAAGAAGAGGGAGTCAAGCTATTCTCCAAAGCACCTGAAGGCAGGACAAGAAGCAACGGATGGAAACTAACCAAGGAGAGAAGCAACCTAGAACTAAGGAGAAACTTCCTGACAGTGAGAACAATCAACCAGTGGAACTACCTGCCTCCAGAAGTGGTGAATGCTCCAACACTGGAAGTTTTTAAGAACAGACTGGACAGCCATTGGTCTGAAATGGTATAGGGTTTCCTGCCTGAGCAGGGGGTTGGACTAGATGACCTCCAAGGTCCCTTCCAACGTATTATTATTATTATTATTATTATTATTATTATTATTATTATTATTATTATTATTATTATTATTATTATTATTATTATTATTATTATTATTATATAATTTGTACATGTGGACCCCAATCCTTCCACTCCTTTGCAGCCACAGGTGCCACAAAAGTGGACCCTTTCTTGGAGATTTGTGGTAAATAAGAAACTAGATTTTCTACGAGTAAATTGAAATAACAGACTACCTTGAACTACAACTTTACTGTTGTTTAACCCGTCACCTATTTTTTATTTCATATACATTTTGTAGGACAGGTCAAATAGACGTAGAAGCTTATAAATTTTGGATCAGTTTTGCGGGGGGGGGGGGGGGGAANTAGCTCAGCTCCAAGGAGGCCCTGATGCTGGGTGGGTCCTCCCGGATCGGACCGAAGCTCTGTGGAGGTCTCCAAATTAAACGGGGGTCTTTTCAGGAAGACTCTCAGGATTTCCCCCCTGAGACCCCCCCCAGGCCCTCCCACATCAACCTGGGTGCCCTGATAGGGGGAGGGTCTGAATCGGGACTTTTATAGGCGGTCCTTGACTTACAGCAGTTTGGTTAGTGACCGTTCTAAGTTACAACGAGAAGAGTGACTTCTAGGAGAGAGCGGAATAGAATACTGAACGTATGAATACAGAATACGTGACCACTTTTCACGTGGCCGGTGCGGTTGACCCACGGTCACGTAATCAGGAAGGAGGACCAGGATGAAAAAGACTCGGAAGCAGAGATGGGAAAAGAAGCTGCCAAACGTCGCCATCCTGTCCTGCTGGTGCCCGGCTGCCAGCCCCCCCCCCGAAGCGCTGGAGTGGAGAGCTGGCACAGTTTACCCTGCAATACCTTTTTGGGGGGAGGGGGTGTGTGTAGATACAACTTTGCAAAGTTTATTTACAAACTGTGGTGGAGACACGTGTGTGTGTGTGTGTATCAGGAAGGAGGGGGGGCAAAGTCCTGGACCCCCACCTTGGGGGTGAATTCCAGCATCTCCTAAGTTGGAAAGAAGCAACTTGGGGAGGGGTCAACAGCCTCTTCCCCCCTCTGGCGCGCTCCAACCACATTCAGTCCCAGCATTCTCGGGATTGCAGCCCCCAGTCCTGGGGGGGGGAGGGGGCAGAGGCCAGTGAAGATTCTGACAAGAAAAGTATGCAGGGGGTGGGGCCACCTGCCCCTCCGTCTGCCCCCAGGCTCGACCTGCTGGGGGGGTCTCAACCCCACGTCCTTCTCCCACAGCAGCGTGGGAGAATTCACCCCGCCAATTCCCGCAGCCGCTTCCGTGTGCAGCCGTGGTGGGGCAGGAAAAAGTCAAAAGGCCAGCGGTCCACGCGGGCACCCTTCCGCCTCCATGCCCGCTCGGAGGGGGCGCCCCCTGGCACAGTGGAGGCGTCAGGAAGGCAGCCCCAGCGCCCCTTCGCAGAGACTCCCAGGCCCAGCATCCTGTTCCAAGAAGCACAGCAGCCACGCACGTCTGCCTCTCTTTCCTGCCTGAGGTTATTTTGGGAGGGGGGCTTAAATGCAGAGGTGGTCGAAGGGGTGGGGTGCTGTTCACTACTGGCCGATCCTCTGCCGCCATCGCTTGCTTGGAGGGTTCCCCACATTCCGGCCTCGGGCCCCCACCGGGCCCCCCGAGCAGGGAGACAAAGCGCCCTCTCCCCCATCCGTGACAACTCTCGCCGTCCGTCTGCCGGAAGCGGCTCTCCTTGGGGCAGCCACCGGAGTGTGGCCCCTGGACCCTCAGGATGGACCCCATCTGCCGACTACTTCTTCCCCGCCGGGGGGCCTTCTTCGGAGGGGAGGGGCTCGGGCTCCCAGAGCAGGAACTCATGCAGGAGGGTGTTGACCGTCTCCGGACACTCCAGCATGACCATGTGGCTGCCCTCGTCTATCACCTTCAGGAAGGCCAGCAGCAGGATCTGGGGGCAAAGAGGGAAGGGGGGGTCAGAGACGGCCCCTGGGGGGGGCTTCAGGAGCACCCCAGCTGTGTATGGGGCTGCTCTCTGGGCGGCCTTTGCACCCTCCATTCTCGCTTTAAGTGCAGAGGACAACATCTCTGTGTGTGTGTGTGTTTCACTTGCGCCTTTGTGCAAACGCCAAGCACTACTGGTCCTGCCTGCAACAGCCCCCCCCCAAAGATCAGCAGCTGGGACCCCCTCCCGAGGCTGGCATGGGCCTCTCTGCCGCTCTGAGCTGATGCAGCTTTTCTGACCCTCAGCCTGAAAATCGTGACTAGCTGGCAATCTTGCCCCCCCCAGTGAGACCTTAAATCAAATTTTAACGGGGGGGGGGAGCAGATTGGGGAGAGCTGTTGTGCTTCCCACAGAAATTGTGCAGACTGGACAAACTTTGCCTCCACCGAGTCCAACATGGCGCTGAGTCCCCCTCCTGGCCCCCCTCCCTCCCCCATGTTGGCAAACCTGGGTGCAATCAGGTGACCAGCATCTCCGGCATCCTTGCAAGCCCCTCCCTCCCTCCCTTGTGGGTCCCTCCCTGATCTTTGTCAAGCCAGCCTTGTTTCATCTGGGCACATCTGCCTGAAGGCCCCCCTCGCCCCCCACGTGCATCCTCCAAAGGATGGGGATGGCCCCCCCATTGTGGTTGAAGAGAAGCCAGCCAGGGCTCCCGGGGGGGGGCAGGGGAGAGGGGCCCTACCTCCGCCATGCGCTGGTCCTCCTCCACGGGCACAAACTTGTCGTGCATGCCGTGCACCAGCAGCGTGGGCACGGTCAGCTCGGCGTGGTAGACTTCGTCCCCCTCCGGCCAGTACTGCCCGCTCATCATGGCCCGCAGGACGAAGGAGGAGACGTTGAAGGCATTGCCCTCCTTCAGCAACTGCTTCTCCTTGGCGCCCTGGCGGGCGAAGCCGGCTCTGCCAGGGCAAAGGGCACCGGGTCAGCACGGTGGGTGGGCGGGTGGGGCGGAGACCCTGCAATTCGTGGCTGTGCCAAGGCAAAACAGGACCCCAGCCCACCCAGGAGAAGATTGAGGGGCATTGGGGGGTTAAATCTGAGCCCCTAAATAGATGGGTAGGGCCTGGGGGTACACCATCTTCAGGGGAGCCACGCATGGCCCATGGGGAGGCCTGCCCCCCAGCCCCTCCCACTTCCTCACTTGAGGAAGCTCCAGGCCAGGCAGGGCGGGAGGGTGCCCGGGAATAAGAGCCCCCGTCACCTTCAGGAGAGACACGCATGGCCAGTGGGCAGCCCAGTTGTGGCAGGGGAGGTCTGCCCCCTCCCTCCCCCATCTCCCCCCCTCCCCGGGAGGCTCACTTGAGGAAGCTCCAGGCCAGGCAGGGCGAGAGGCAGCGCAGCAGGCAGGGGGGCATGTTGAAGATGGAGCATAGGCTGGGCTCCAGGGCGGTGGGCCCCCCTCCGTTGATCATGACCACCTTGTGGACCAGATCCGGGTATTCGTGGGCCAGGAAGGTGCAGAAGGAGACCCTAAGAGGGAGGAGGACAAGCAGGGTGATCAGGCACCGCAAAGGGGGCCTCTCTGCCCCCCCGGAGAAGCGCTGAGCCTCCACGCTCAGAAGCATCTGATCAACATTTGGGCGCTTGTCAGCCGGCATCTATTTCTATGAGGGTCGCAGCATCCTGGGTTCACAGGATCTCCACTGGCGACCTCCCTGGCTAGCTTCTGACAAGCAAAGTCAGTGGGGGAAGCTGGAGTCACTTAACGACTGCGTGATTCACTTAGCAACCGCAGTGACTTGCTTAACAACCACAGCAAAAAAACGCCATTGTAAAATCAGAGGTAACGCACTACATCATCTTGCTTAATGATGTAATTTGTGGTCCCGGTTGTGGTCGTAACTTGAGGATGGCCCGCCTCTAGGAAATCACCAGGAGAGACCACCCTCCCCTTCCCCTCTTACCCATACGAGTGTCCGACCAGGATGTTCCTTTTCTTGGCGTATCGCTTGAACAGGCTGCGCATGTCTTCCGCCAGGGCGTAGAAGGTGTAGGCGGCCGCGATCTGGGGGGCAGAGCTGGCCCCGTGCCCAGCCAGGTCGGGGGCCACCACCTCGTAGCCCAGCTGGGTGAAGAAGTCCACCTGCTCCTTCCAGATGTCCGAAGAGCCGCCCACCCCGTGGATGAAGAACAGCACCACGTCCCGGTGGATCCCCTTGCAGCTGCTGATGTACTTGGTGCAGTCAATGTGGACCACTCTTTTGGGCTTTTGCCGGCGGCGTTTGAGCGCCGTGCCCCCACTGGCTGTGGGCATCGTGGCTGGATTCGCATCTGAGACCTCTGCCTCCACCATGCTCTGGGCCTCGGTGCCGTTCTGGCCTTGCGGGACGTCGGGCTGCTGCCCTGCCTCACCCAGGTTCTCGATGACCATCTGCCCGTTGCGGTACACGGCGATCCGGCGTTTGCAGTGCACGGCGCCCGTCTTCTGGGGCTCCTCTTCCTCCTCCTTCTCCTCCGTGCTGGGGGGGTGGGAGGGGGCGACGTGCTTCACCCGCAGGACCCGCCCAGGCTTCACCTCCACAAAGCTGTAGCCGTTGCTGGACTCGACCGGCTCCAGGGGCCCCACGACATTGGGCACCTTGCCCAGAAGGCAGCAGAGAAGCCCGTCAGCGATGCTGGTCAACATGGCGACACCTGGGAGGGCGTGGAAGGAAGGGGTCAGGCAGCTTTTCATGAGGGGCAGCGCGTTCCAAAGCAGACACCCGGCACCCCTGGCAGAGAGGCTACTGATGCCACCGTTAGGGCAGTCAGTGGCAGAAAGAGAGACACTCCCAGTAAAGGAGAATCTTTGTAGCTCAGGGTTGAAACGAGGGGTCCCTGGGGGTCTCTGAGCTGGGTTGTTTTCTTGCAGACCTTTCATGACCCAGCTAGGTAACACCATCAGTGCTGGTAAGGAGTGGTGTTACATAAACAAAACCCTGATGGTGTTGGGTAATGAGACGTCTGCAAGAAAACAACCCAGTTCAGAGAACACCAACGACCCCCAAGTACAGACTGGGTGAGACCCGGCTTAAAAACAGCGACTGTGAGAGGGACCTTGGAGTCCTAGTGGACGATCCCTTGACCAGGAGCCAGCCGTGTGCAGCCGCCGCCAAAAAAAAGCTAATACAATCCTGGGTTGTAGAAACAGAGGCATAGAATCAAGATCACACAAAGTATTAGTACCACTTTACAAGGCCCTAGTGAGGCCACACCTGGAGTACCTGCATCCAGTTTTGGTCATCGTATCACAAAAAAGATGTTGAGAGTTTAGAAAAAAATTCAGAGAAGAGCAACTAAGAGGATCCAAGGCCTGGAGACTAAAACATACGAAGAACGGCACATGGATATCTCTCTCTCTCTCTCTCTCTCTCTCTCTCTCTCTCTCTCTCTCTCTCTCTCTCTCTCTCTCTCTTCTCTTTTTCTCTTTCTGTCTCTTTCTGACTCTTTTTTCTCTTTCCGTTCTCTCTCTCTCTCTCTCCACATTCTTTTTCTTTGTCTCTTTCTGACTCTCTTTGTCTCTTTCTGACTCTTTTTCTCTCTTTCCGTTCTCTCTCTTCTCTCTCTCCATTCTCTTTTTCTCTTTCTGTCTCTTTCTGACTCTTTTTCTCTCTTTCTGTTTTCTCTCTCTCTCCCTCCATTTTCTCTTTCTGTCTCTTTCTGACTCTTTTTTCTCTCTTTCCGTTCTCTCTCTCTCTTCTCTCTCTCTCTCCATTCTTTTTCTCTTTCTGTCTCTTTCTGACTCTTTTTCTCTCTTTCCGTTCTCTCTCTCTCTCTTCTCTCTCTCCATTCTTTTTCTCTTTCTGTCTCTTTCTGACTCTTTTTCTCTTTCTGTTTTCTCTCTCTCTCCCTCCATTTTCTCTTTCTGTCTCTTTCTGACTCTTTTTTCTCTCTTTCCGTTCTCTCTCTCTCTTCTCTCTCTCTCTCCATTCTTTTTCTCTTTCTGTCTCTTTCTGACTCTCTTTTTCTCTTTCTGTTCTCTCTCTCTCTCTCTCTCTCTCTCTCTCTCTCTTTCTCACTCACTCACTCTTTGATTTTCTTTTCTTTCTCTCTCTCCCCCCATTTTTTTCTTCTTTCTCTCTCTTTCTCTTTCTGTTTCCTTCCTTTCCTTTCTCTTTCTCTCCCCAAGGAGAGATTTAACCTAGAAATAAGGAGAAAATTTCCTGACACTGAGAACAATCCACCAACGGAACAGAAGTTGACTTCAGAAGTTGTGGGAGCTCCATCACTGGAGGCTTTCAAGACTAGGCTAGACTGCCATCTGAAGACATAGGGCAGGGGTTGGACTAGAATCACTAGATGACCTACAAAGTCCCGACTCTGTTATTCTGATTCTTTCTCTTCTTTTCTATCTCTCTTCCTCCACTCTCTTTCTTTCTTTTTCTTTCTCTCTCTCTCTGCTGCTCTTTGTTTTAATCTAAAAAAACCTGAGATAGTGGCCTGAGTGAATTGTCAATGGAGTGGGCGGTGAAGGGGCAGGGTTGCTGTGGGGGGCCTGGACCTCCTTCCCTGCTCATGCACCTACTTCTTGACCCTTTGTAACTGACGCTTTGTGTGTCCAGCAGACTCCAAGGCTAGGTTTCACTACACTGTTTCAGGCGGGGTGTGTGTGTGTCTCTCTCTTTCTGGGGGAGGGACACCTACTGTCACAATGCCCACCTGGTGACACAGGTGGGCATCCATCCAGGCTGGGCCATCAGAGGGGGGGTCATCAGCACAGAGTTTAAGCCCCCAAGGACATCCGCAGCCCTAGAATTGGTCCGCAGAACTGGATGGATGTCTGGATCTTTCCCTTAAATCCACTCCTGGTTCTCCTACTTAAATCACGGGAGGGAAAGTGGCTTTCGTTTAAGACCACCTGGATCCAGAACACCTTCGCCAGTGGATTGAGACTCACCCAGAAAATGAAGAATAGAACAGAACAGAACAGAACAGAATAGAATATAGCAGAATAGAGCAGAGCAGAATAGAATAGAACAGAACAGAATAGAATAGAGCAGAGCAGAGCAGAATAGAACAGAACAGAACAGAACAGAACAGAATAGAATAGAGCAGAATAGAGCAGAGCAGAACAGAGCAGAGCAGAGCAGAACAGAACAGAACAGAACAGAATAGAACAGAATAGAACAGAACAGAACATCATGTGTTGCTTTTAGGAGCTCTCCAAATTGGAGAAGAAGCGAACCAGAAGTTCTATCAGGGTGGGGTCTGCAACCCACCTCCCCATCTCTCTGCTTGGAAAGTTTAGGGCAGGGGAGTCCAGCCTTAGCAACTTTCAGACTTCTGGGCTTCAGCTCCCCAAATTCCCAGCTGGAATTCTTGAATAATAACAATAATAATAATAATAATAATAATAATAATAATAATAATAATAATATAGAATAGAATAATAGAACAGAATAGAACAGAATAGGACAGAGTTGGAAGGGATCCTGGAGGTCTTCTAGTCCAGCCCCCCGCTCAAGCAGGGGAACCTATACCATCTCAGACTAATGACTGTCTAGCCTCTTCTTAAAATCTCCGGTGATGGAGCACACACAACTTCTGGTGGCAAGCTGTTCCACTGGTTAATTGTCCTCACTGTCAGGAAGTTTCTCCTTAATTCCAGGTTGCTTCTCTCTTTGGTCAGTTTCCAACCGTTGTTTCTTGTCCTGCCCTCTGGTGCTTTGGAGAATAACGTGGCCCCCTCCTCTTCTTTGTGGCAGCCCCTCAAATATCGGAAAACTGCTATCATGTCTCCACTATTTCTTCTTTTCTCTAGACTAGCCGAACCCAAGTTCCGCAGCCATATTGTGGTGACCAGAACTGGATGCTGTGTTCCAGCTGTGGTGTGGTCTTACCAAGGTCTTGTAAAGTGGTAGTAACATTTCACTAAAAGGTCCACATGTTCAATTTTCTGCAGAGTTTTAACCCACAGAAGAAGGTGGACTGTATTCGAAAGAGCGGCCTTGGTCTTTCAAAGGCAGATGGACTGCTGACTCTTGCCTTGGTGGATCTGTTCTCCAGTCAGAGCTGAAGAAGCTTCTTGGATGAGAAGCGAAATGTCTTCAAACAATGCTCTTCTCCTTCACCCCTTCGCCCTTTCCAAACCAGCCGCCCGTCTAACCTTCGATCCATCCAACAGGTGCCAGGTTGAGCGGGATTTCGTGGGAGCTGCCACGGGAGGGAATTCAGAGTGGGCAACATGGCTGCCCGTCGCCTCGGCCTCTCCAAGCCCGTCTCCCGTCTGGGGCACCTTCTGAACCCAGTGGAGAACAGAATGAACCTTCCAGAATGGCAGGAGACCATCATTAAAAGAAAACGGAGGGGAAGAGGAAGGGGGAGGATGCTGGTAACCATGGAGACCAGGGCAGGCTTGGGTACCGCTCTGGCGGATTGGAAGGAAGAAGTTGCCGATTGCATAACCACCAGCAGCCGGTTGAGTCAGGAAGGGGGTGGGTTGCATAAGTCTCCCTCCCCCTCCTTTTAGAGGGAGGGGGCTTCAGACCCCATAGAGGAAAAACCCAGAGACTCTGTGGGGTCCTTGATGCTCTCTGAGCTGGGTTGTTTGCTGGCAGACATTTCATTGTGTTTCATTCAGGTAACCTCATCAATGCCAGATGGGTCATGAAACATCTGCAAAAAACCCACCAAGCTCATAAAGTACCAAGAACCCACAGCTCTCCTCGTCTTCCTCCTCCCCCTCCCTCCTCCTCCTCCTCCTCCTCCTCTCCACAAACCACCCTCCCTTCTAGCACTGATGATGTTACCTAGCTGGGTCATGAAACATGTAAAAAAGATGTTGAGACTCTAGCAAGAGTACAGAGAAGAGCAACAAAGATGATCAGGGGACTGGAGGCTAAAACATATAAGGAACGGTTGCTGGAATTGGGTCTGTCTAGTGTAATGAAGAGAAGGACGAGGGGGGACAGGATAGCAGCCTCCCAGTATCTGAGGGTCTGCCCCAAAGAAGAGGGAGTCAACCTATTTTCCAAAGCTCCTGAAGGCAGGACAAGAAGCAATGGAGGGAAACTAATCAAGGAGAGAAGCAACCTGGAACTAAGGAGAAACTTCTTGACAGTTAGAACAATTAATCCATGGAACTACCTGCCTCCAGAAGCGGTGAATGCTCCAACACTGGAAGTTTTTAAGAAGAGACTGGACAGCCATTTGTCTGAAATGGTATAGGGTTTCCTGCCTGAGCAGGGGGTTGGACTAGATGACCTCCAAGATACCTTCCAACTTTATTATTACTATTGTTGTTGTTGTTCTTCTTCTTCTTCTTTATTATTATTATTATTATTATTATTATTATTATTATTATTATTATTATTACTACTACTACTACTACTACTACTACTACTATTATTTGCAAGAAAACCACTAAACTCAGAGATCACCAAAGACCCCACAGTCCTCCTCCTCCTCCTCTCCACAGACCCTATTCCCTTCTAGCACTGATGATGTTACCTAGTTGTGTAATGAGACGTCTGCAAGAAAACAGCCAAGCTCAGAGAGCACCAAGGACTCCACAGTCCTCCCCCTCGTCCTCCTCCCCTCCCTCCTCTTCCTCTCCACAAACCTTTCTCCCTTCTAGCACTGATGATGTTACCTAGCTGGGTCCTGAAACGTCTGCAAGAAAGCCACCCAGCTCAGAGAGCACCAGGG